GCCTGTCCAGCTGCAGTCGGCGTTACTGTCTGCCTCCTCTCTCCCTGGTCCTGCTCCTTACACTAGTCCGATTGGAGGTCTTACTGAGCGGCGTGAGCCTGCGTCTCGTCCTGCGTCGCCTGAGTCTCGTCCTGAGTCGCCTGTCCGCACTGCTCTCTCTAGTAGTCGAGTCCTGCGTCAGCGTCTTCCTGGTGTCCCAGGCCCTCACCGGATGGCGCTTCGTCCGTCCACTGCTCCACAGCGTGTCCCACTGCCGTCTCCTCCTGCTTCCTCTCTTCCTGCTCTTGCTGACCCTGGGTCAGACTCTCTTTGTGCTACCAGTCCTACTGTCACGCGTCTCCTAGCTACTGTTGTCACTGACCCTTCCTTTGAGTCTGCTGCTGCGTCTGCCTTAGTTGCTGAGCTTGTCGACTTTGCTGCTCGCTGTCGTCTAGACTATGCTGTTAGCCTAGTTGCTGAGTCTGAGTCTGTCTGTCCTCCGTCCGTCGGGGGTGAGTGTGCTCTTGGCACTGACGTCCTTGAGGACAGGCAGGAGGAGTTTGAGTGCTTTGCTGCCGCTTTGCCCCATCTCGTGTCCATGCTTGTTGCCCCTGAGGGAGACCCGGATGCACCAGACATCCCGACCCCACGCTCTTACGCAAAGGCGATGGCCGGTCCCTACTCCTCTCAGTGGCAGTCAGCCATGGACACAGAGATGGCTTCCTGGAAGTCCACAGGCACCTACGTCGACGAGGTTCCCCCACCTGGGGGGAACATCGTCAGTGGCATGTGGATTTTCAGGGTGAAGCGGCCGCCGGGCTCTCCGCCTGTCTTCAAGGCGCGTTACGTTGCACGAGGCTTCAGTCAGCGAGAGGGAGTTGACTAATTCCAAACCTTCTCCCCGACCCCGAAGATGACCACTCTTCGGGTTCTGCTGCACGTCGCCGCTCAGCGTGACTACGAGCTCCACTCGCTTGACTTCAGCACTGCTTTCCTGCAGGGCAGCCTGCACGAGGAGATCTGGCTGCGCCGTCCACCTGGCTTCACTGGGTCGTTCCCTCCTGGTACCCAGTGGAGCCTCCGACGGCCAGTCTACGGTCTCCGCCAGGCGCCTCGTGAGTGGCACGACACACTAAGGACTACGCTTGCGGCTCTTGGGTTCGCGCCTTCTACTGCTGACCCGTCGCTGTTTCTACGCACCGACACCTCACTGCCGCCATTCTACGTCCTTATGTACGTCGACGACTTGGTCTTTGCTACTGCTGACACTGTGGCACTCGCCCACGTGAAGTCGGAGCTGCAGAAGAGACACGCGTGCACAGACCTGGGTGAACTGACAAGCTATCTTGGCTTGCGGATCACCCGGGACAGAGCACGCCGCACCATCACCTTGACTCAGTCACACATGGTGCAGCAGGTCCTTCAGCGCTTCCGCTTCACGTACTCCTCGCCTCAGCCCACTCCTCTGCCTACCGGTCACTCGCTCTCAGCTCTGCCTTCGGATGAGTCCGTAGAGCCGAGTGGCCCGTATCCAGAGCTTGTGGGTTGCCTCATGTACCTGATGACCTGCACTCGACCAGACTTTGCATAACCTCTCAGCATTCTTGCACGCTATGTCGTTCCCGGCCGTCACCAGAAGGAGCACATGGATGCAGCTAAGAGGGTGTTGCGCTACTTGTGCAGTACGTCGGGCATGGGGCTAGTGCTTGGAGGGCGAGTCCCAGTTGTTCTCACTGGGCACTCAGACGCTTCTTGGGCAGACGACCAGGCTACTCAGCGGTCGTCTCAGGGTTACTCCTTCAGTCTTGGCTCTGGTTCTGTTTCTTGGCGTTCTACTCGCTCTTCTTCTGTTCTCAGCTCCAGTTGTGAGGCTGAGATCTACGCCACAGCCATGGCGGCCCACGAGCTACGCTGGCTCACCTACTTGCTGACCGACCTTGGAGAGCAGCCTCGTTCTCCTTCAGTGCTGTACGTCGACAACAAGGCAGCCATTGCCTTGTGTGAGGAGCACAGACTGGAGCACAGAACGAAGCACATTGCTCTGCGTTACTTTATTGCTCGAGAGCTGCAGCAGCGTGGTCAGCTTCGCCTGCGTTACGTGGCCTCTGAGGCCAACACTGCTGATGTGTTCACCAAGGCGCTTCAGCCTTGTGACCATCAGCGCTTTTGCACTCTTCTAGGCCTTGTGCCTACTGGACCTCACTTGCTTACTTCTTGAGTCTGTTTGTACTGTGATCTCTATATATATACCTGCATGTTTACTCTTGTTAGGTTGTGATCATTGTACCTTTTGCTCTATTATAAACCTGCATGTGAACTGGTCTTGTGACCACTTGCTTGTGCTCGGAATTTGTGTGGTATCCTTGAGATCCACCCTGAGCTTGTTTTGCATTGCTTTGCCTTGACTGGTCTTGTGACCCCTAGTTCTCCCCCACTTTGCCTATGGGGGTGTGTCAAACATTATATATGTTGTGTTAGTTTAGGCTACAGTGGGTTAGCCTATAGGGGGTACACAATTCTAGGGTTAGGTACTTGTTCTCATTTTCACTGCTAGTTCATTCATTCCTGTTCAGTGATTCCAACAAGTACTTGTACCCAACTCTTTCATAGTGCATTCATTCTCGTTCATGTTCACATGGTTTCATAGCACATATGCTCCTGGCCTGTGGGCCCTACTACTGCTTCCGCTGCTACTCGATCTGCCGCACGCCCTGTGGCGTGCGACCTATTTTTCATCTCTGAGCATGTTGACCATGCTCCTTGTGATCATCAGCGCTTGCGCCTTGTGATCATCAGCGCTTCTGTACTCAGCTGGGTCTTGTGCCTGCCTTGCCTCACTTGCTCACCTCTTGACCTTGCTTGTACTGTTACATATATATATACACCTGCTCTTGCTTGTCTAGCCTTTTATATATATATATGTACTCCTACATGTGAACCGGCCTTGTGGCCTTGACCTTGTGCTCGGAATGTGTGGTGACTTTGTGATCCACCCTGAGCATGCTTTGCTTTGCTTTGCTTGACTGGTCTTGTGACCCCTTGTACTCCCCCACTTTGCCTATGGGGGTGTGTCAGAACATTATAGCTTATGCTTTTGTGTAGGCTGTAGTGGGGTAGCCTATATGGGGTACAACCCAATTAGGGTTAGTACTTGTACCCAACTCTTTCATAGTGCATTCATTCCCGTTCATGTTCACAGGAACCCACCCACACTTACCGTATAAACCTACCTTCGACGCTACCGTCATCGCCCGGATATAAGACATATATGTCTTATCTCATACACTAAAAAAAATGCTTGGTTTATCTTGTATTTGGGGAGTTTTTGGGTGTCTTATAAGTGTTATAAATGGAAACGTTTTTAAACTACTTCAAAATATTTTCACACATCTTGAAAAGAGTTTCTCATTACAGTGTGAGTGTGGATGTTGCGAAAACGCCACTTCGGCAACCATTGTTCGGGACGCCACATCATGGAGAATACTTGCAAAGGCGAATTCGGTAGTACGTGAGTCAACACATGGCAGAATTCGCGTGTCGCAAGGGAAAAAAATGTACGCGGTACGGTACTTCAATTTTCACTATATATGTTGCAGTATCGATTATAAGACACATATGTCTTATCTCGTGCACACAAATAGGTGTCTTGTAATGAGGCTAGCCTGTTTATAAAAGACACACGTATAATAGACAGCCCCTGTCTACTATTCAACACTGTCTTATATCCGGGTGATGACGGGTAGTACTGCTCATCCTGCTGCAGAGAAACGACATACCAGCTTCAAAGTACAGGTCCAAGCATCATGTCATGAGCCATGACAGAAAGAAATTGACAACTTTTATATTCAAGCAAGTCTTGCTGACCAAAATGCTAGTGCTACCGTAGATATTGGTACAGTTATTCCTAAAGCCAAACTAGGCATATAGCAATAGGATCTAGTCTAGTCATAAATTACCCAGTCTATTAAAGTGGGCCTGGTGTTACAATCATCCCAGGGAAGTTGTCCTTGATGAGGGATTCAACATTTTCAGTTTCCGTGCCAATCATATGGAGACTCTTGAGCCCGTTGAGCCATTGGATACCAGCGACCAGGGCTTCATATTCGTTTTGGGCCACCCTTAGTAATCAGGGTTCTAGGTATAGTCAACCCTGATGCGTAGGGTAAAATTTTTGTTTCCCTGACAAATGCAAGGTAAAAAAACAGTTAGTCTGTTTGAGCAGGGTATCCTTAAAAACTTATGGTTAGTTAAAATCCCGAAGCACTCAAGATCAATGGCTAGTAGTTCAGCTGGTTCAATTGCGCATAATATCTGTGAGGTCGCAAGTTCAAATCTCGCTAATTGTACCAAATTTGCAGGGACCTGTATAGTGTTTCGTCTCGCTACGGAGCACTCAGTACCAGTATAGCTTGGATTGTACACTGTACAGTCAGAGTAATGTGGGTCCTTATGCTGTTTTTCAAAGGGTATTGAAAAACTTACACTTTCTGGCCTAGGGTAAAAAATCCACTACCCTGCCTGTGAAAGGGTAACGGAAAAAAGCGGCCGCCAGTCAGTGCAAAAAGGGTATTTTACCCTGATAACGAGAGGTCTGCCAGCGACCGTGAGATTCGCATCCCACAGACCCAGCTTCTCCATGCCTTTCATATTTCTTAGGAGCTTCATGCTGGAATCGGTCATCCCTGGAGGCAAAGTGAGGGCCTTCTGTGCGGTGAGAGCAGTCAAGTGCTGCAGCCCGTCCTCCGTTACGCCAGTGTCGTTCAACCTGAGAGATGTCAGTGCTGTCAACTGGCCCACATGCTCCATGCTGGCCGAGGTGACAGATGAGCACTCAGAAACATCCAGTGCAGTGAGCTGAGTCATCCCTTGCAGCCTCTGTATTCCCACGTCTGTTATCCCATTGTTACCAAGATCGAGTGTGTGAAGATTTTTCAGGCCACTAATACCTTCAAGAGCAGCATCCGCTGTGTTTCTAGCTATCAAATTCAGAAGTGCCAGGTTCATGAGAGAGAAGAGTTGTCTCACTCCCGCTGTAGTGAAGCCAGTTGCCCCGTTGAGGTTGAGCCACGTGAGAGAGCGCACTGAGGCGAGTCGAGTGAGAGCAACGTCGGTGAGGAGGGAGACGCCGCTGAGGTCCATGCGAGTCCTGCCGGGATTAACCTTGGCCCACACTCCGATCAATGCCTGCAGCCAAGAGCAGCAACAAGGGCAAACATACAGGCTGACAAGCACAAACCGTAGTGCTAGATGGGGACTACACTGCATCTATCACACGCAAGTGAGGCTCAAACTGCGTGCAGTAGAGAAGAGGGCTGTATAAGTAGCCGAGCAACATTAGTTGGACATGCACCCATGCGACCCACGCATTCTCCACACACTATAGGTACAACATCCGCGCACCCAGTTGCATCCACACCATCGCGCACTCACCGACCACGTCTTCCTTCCCCCAGCGCTCGTTTTCTCCAGCGCTTCCACTCGCGCCCTCAGCTCTTTCAGCTCATCCTCCGGGTCACCCGCTACGCCACTCCCGCCCTCGTTCGCGTCGCCCACCCTTTCTCCGCATCCCGCTATCCGTCAGGCGCACCACCAACGGCAATAAGCGCAGGCACGGCGCCCGAAGGAGCATCTACCATCTCTTCCTCCTTGCACGCGTCGTCCCTCTTCCGCTTCTTCCCATCGCGCCTCTCCGCCTCCGCATGCTCCCCCGCTTCTGCCCTGAGCGCGGTGAGCGCCAGCTCGACGTCGTTGATGCACGCCTCCGAGTGCGCCGCCGTCGCCTTCACGTACGCCACCTCCGCCGCCTGCCGCTCCGCCGCAGCCCTCATCCGCGCAAGCTCCGCCTTCACCGCGCCCATCTCACCGCGCATCTCACTTACCGCATCCCGCGCCTCCCCCCTCGCCGCTTCCACCCGCGCCTTCACATCCTCCACTTCAAACGGTGCTCCCTTCAGCGGCTGCGCGCCACTGGCCTCCGCCGCTGCCTTTCCTGACGCACTCCCGTCCCGCTCCCCCTCCGCCATTGCGCCCGTCGCCGCCATGCCCTTGAGGAGGGCCATGGAGCTTCGCATGTCGGCCATGGCGCGCTGCATGGCAGCCATGGCGTCGCCCTGCTCCCTCAGCTTCGCCTCCAGCGCCGCCACGCGCACCTCCATGCCGCCCGCCATCTCCCCCAGCTGCACCTTCAGCACCATGCCGTTCAGCATCTCCTTCAGTCTCTCCTCCATGTCCCGCGCTGTCGTCGCCATTCCCTTCTTTCAAGGCTGTGAGTCTTGTCAAAGTCGAGTTCTGTATGGTTGTACGCTGCAAGTTTACGCACAGCAACTTCAAAGTTGAACGAGGGTACAACTTCACTACGGAAAAAGGTGAGAGTGAAACAACTTCGGTTAGTTTGAGTTTTTGTTGCGTTGCGTCGAGGTGCTGCGGGGTCTTGGCGAGAATGTGTAGTTAGGGCGTGGCACCATTTTGATTTTTTGTGTTTTTTCGGACGGTCCACAAATTTCGTATTGGACCGTCCAAATATCGAGTACCGGACAGTCCGTTGGGAAAATTCGAAACTTTGCACCGTTCAGATGCAAAGCTGTCACTTTTCTGGGTCTAGGGTCTTGACGAGGTACTGTAGCCTAGCCATGAATAATGTACAGTCGTTACCAAATTCACGAATTCTCGCAACATTCGCCAATCAGCGTACGCGACTCGAACACCAACAAAAACAGTTTTCCTGCACACCAAACATATCTCGACATTGAACCAAGTACAAACAGGTGGAGGACTTGGCGAGGAGTTGGGTGTGGTGGGTCGCGGTTCCGTATTCCTATCTGCACAAGAGTGGTCCTTTGTGATGGTTCGGTTCGGATTTGTGGGGGTTTTGTAGCCCAGTAGCACGGTTCGATGTCACTGTCCAATGTTTGAGTTCGAGTCGCGTGCCCTAAAAAATTAGACGAGGCGACTCGGTTTTTTGTTTCTGTGCTGTTCGCGCGCCAATCCCGTAGCAGCACTGTTCTTCCGCCCGTTCGGTATTCAATCCGCCAAAAGTTCAGAATCTGAACCGTTGTGAGGAGGAAAAGTGACGCGACAGTTCGAACCGTTGGCGACGTTGCAATTACTTTCACGAAACTTTACCTGATATTCAGCGAAGCAGGTAACCATTTTGCAGTTCGGACCGTCTATGGCTCGAACCGTCGGGAGAAAAATGGTGCCACGCCCTTATGTGTCTCAACTCGACCAGTGAAAGCCAAGCCTTCCAGCCAGCCGAACCGAACCAGAGCAAGCAAGTCTCATCGTCACTACGAAACTTTAGGCAGTGTTGGGTTCAGAAGTTTTTGGGAAACTATATTACATGTCCATACTTTCAGATTTCTCTCAAATTTAGCCCCAGGCTTACTCAAAAAGTACCACTTTCTAGAATTTCGCTCACGCGAGGCCCAAAGTATGTTCAAAACTGGTCCTGCGGGGCGAATATTTCGACACGTGTCCAATCTCGCTTGGAGAATTTTTCGACGGGGCAAAAAATAATAAAACCCCTCGGGAACTAGGGCACATTTGCGGGAGGGATCAACCCTAAACACCAAGCGGGTCCCCGTGTTTAGGGTTGGTCCCTCCCGAACGTGTGTCCTGGTCCCCTAGGGGTTTTATGTTTTTTGCCCCCGTCAGAAATTGCAAAATACGAAATAGAACACGTGTCGAAAAGTTTGTCCCGCAGGACCAGTTTTGAACATAATCTGGGCCTCGCGTGAGCAAACTTCTAGAAAGCTGTACTTTTTGAGTGAACTTATGACTCAATTTGAGACATTTTTGAAACTATGGAGCAGGGATATACTTTCCCGAAGTTTTTTAACCAGGCTTGCCAGCGCGAAAGTGCTGGCTGGCGAAAACCAGGATTTGGGTTCTAGGTTTTGGGTGGCAAATGTGCACCGTCGCTATACCGGTTGGATCTAGGGGAATTGCTTGGGGTGGCCGACGTGCGCCTCTCGTTGCTCCCAAGCAAATGTGATTCAACAGACCGCAAAGCAAGTCTGACCTGGTGTGGGAGGTGTGGAACCGAACCAAACCAGCCCAGCTTGTTTGACTTGAGCACGAAGCAAGTACATCCAGGTAGACATTCTTGTCTTTGATATAAGCATCTTGGAAGTGTGTGAGTAATGGAGAAGATGGTATAAGAACAGTATTGCAGTCACACAAAAAAAACACTGTTGGCAAAGAAGCATGATGGAAAGGCATTTTGAGTGATCTAAATTAGTTTGTGTATAAAACTGCTGGTGGTGTTTCCTTTGTTTTTTACACAAAAGAATGTAGTGCAGCATGGTACAGTATGGTATCCTGCTGAGAATGCATTTTTCCCTGACTGAACTGTCGAACTTATATGATCTAGCCTGTGTAGGCTATAGCGGGTTAGATACTAAGGGGTACACAATTCTAGGGTTTCATATTTGTATCACTTTCATTCCTTAATCATTCATTCTCGTTCTAAGTTTCTCATGGTATCAGAGCACGTTCCCTCGTGGGAACTGTTCCTAGGGCCCACCAAGATTTTTTTTCCTACCCGGGGCGCGTGTCGCCCCTGCCCGAAGCGCGCCTAGAGTCGCGCCCTTCTTAGTGGCCCCTCAGGCCCCGTCGCTGCTCTCTCTATGCCTCGCGTGGCCCCTTAGCAACCTCGTCGCCGCCCCTTACGGCCCCACGACCGTCTCTTACGGCCCCTCGACCGCCCCTTAAGGCCCCGTCGCCACCCCTTACAGCCACGTCGCCACCCCTTACAGCCCCGTCGCCGCCCCTTTCGGCCCCGTCGCCACCGAGCCGCGACCCCGTAGCCGCCCTTAGCGGCCCCGTCGCCGTCCCTCCTCCCCTCGGCCTTGTCGCCGCCCTACAGCGGCCCCGTCGCCGTCCCTCAGCGGCCTCGTCGCCGCCCTTCAGCGGCCCCGTCGTCGCCCCTCAGCGGCCTCGTCGCCGCCCTTCAGCGGCCTCATTGCGGCCCCTTGCAGCCCAGTCGCCGCCCTTCGCGGCCCTGCCGCCCTTCCTCGGCCCCTCAGCCGCCCTTCCCGGCCCCGTCGAGCAGCTGAGCCGCCGTCACTGCCGAGCCGCCGAGCCGCCGAGCCGCACTGCAGCCGAGCCGCCGAGCCACCCAGCCGCCGAGCCGCCACGCCGCCGCAGCCGAGACGCCGCAGTCCCTGCAGACGCGGCCCTGTCCCTGCCGGCCTGCTTCGGCCCGCCCCACCTGCGTGGTAAGAGCAGAGCCTCTGCCACTGCGCTGCCCTACCCCGCTGCTCTCTCTGCCAGTCTACTGCTGTCATGGCCACCCCCAACGTTCTCACCTTTGACGCTGAGGGTCGGGCTGTTGACTTTGAGGTCTGGGTAGATGATCTGCAGCTTTTCCTACAGTGTAATAGGGCAGACGGTCTCTCTCTGTTTGACCTCAGCTCTGGTGCCTCTCCTGCCCCTACTGCTGATGCTGACGCCACTGTTCGCTCACAGTGGGCCACGCGCGATGCTGCTGTACGCCGCCACTTACCGACCACTAAGCGCGCGCATTTTAGTCAGTACAAGAGTGCTAAGACCTTGTACGACGCTGTCGTTGCACGCTACTCTTCCCCTGCCACTGCTGCCCTTAGCTGCCTCATACTGCCGTACCTCTTCCCTGACCTCGCCGCTTTTCACATAGTCGCTGACCTCATTACGCACCTTTGCACTGGTGACATTTGCTACCGCGCTGCGCTTCCTGCTGAGTTCTGCGCCAAGAACCCCCCCCCCTAGGTACATCACCCTCTACTACATAGTCACCCGGCTCCCAGACACCCTTTGCTCGGTGAGGGACCACTTCCTCTCTGTTTGCCCCACTACCCTCACCGTTGACCTCCTTGAGGAGCGCCTCCTAGCAGTAGAAAAGAGTATAGTCGCTGTAGCAGCCTCTCGTGGTGACCCTCGTACCCCTGTCTTTGAGGGGTGCTCCCCCTGTCAGAATATTATGCTCTAGCCTATAGTGGGGTGCTGTATAGCGAGTACAACCCTTCTAGGGTTTGCTATTTGTATCCTCATTCTTGCTAGTGCAATCCTCTTCTTTCTTTTAAACTTTCTCATGCTATCAGAGCAGGTCGATCCCCTTGGATCGATCCTGTGGGTGAGCTCACCACCTCGTTGCTTCCGCTGCAACTTCCACTGCTACTCTCTGTGCCGCACGCCCCGTGGCGTGCGGCAGTTTTTCTTCCCGCCGTGCGCCCCAAGGCGCGCGGCGGTTTTCTGCCCACCGTGCGCCCCGTGGCGCGCGGCGGTTCTCTGCCCGCTGTGCGCCCCGAGGCGCGCGGCGGGCTTCTGCCCCATCACTCGGCGCGTCGCCCTCGGGAGGCGCTGCGACGGGCGACGGGGACCCGCGCGTCGCCCCCCGTCGCCCTTCGTGGACTGCGCGCGGCCCGTACAGGCTGCGCGCGGCCCGTAAGGGCTGCGCCAGGCCCGGACGCGGCCCGTACGGGCTGCGCCAGGCCAGCGCGCGGCCCGTACGGGCTGCGCCAAGCCCGCGCGCGGCCCATACGGGCTGCACCAGGCCTGCGCGCGGCTCAGGCCGCCTGCGCGCGGTTCGGGCGGCTGTGCCAGGCCTGTGGGCGGCCCTTTCCTTGCTGCCCCTGCCCTCCCCGCTGTCCCCCGTGCTTCTACTGGCGCCCCACCCCTCCTACAGCCCGTTCTCCTGAATTAGGGTTTGGGGGTGAGGGGTATGGGGGTGAAGCCACTGTGTGCCGTTCCCTGCTCCTCCTCCTCCTCCGTCTCCCTGTACTCCAGTAGCCCGTGTGCCAGTTGCTCCAGTTGCCAGTGTGCCAGTTTCTCCAGATGCCCGTGTGCCAGTTGCTCCAGTTGCGCCGTGTGCCAGCAGCTTCAGCTGCCGCCCACTACCTCCTCTCCTCTCATAGTCTCTTTCCTCCTCACTTGCCCGTTGTGACTACCACTAGCTTTGCTCATAATTGTGAACTTTAAACTATTGCTTCTTGAACTTGTGCTCAGAATGTGTGGTGACATTGTGATCCACCCTGAGCTTGTACTGCTTTGCTTGCTCTGCTGATTACACCCCACTTTGGCTATGGGGGTGTGTCAGAATATTATGCTCTAGCCTGTAGTGGGGTGCTCTATAGCGAGTACAACCCTTCTAGGGTTTGCTATTTGTATCCTCATTCTTGCTAGTGCAATCCTCTTCTTTCTTTTAAACTTTCTCACCCCCTCCCCCCTCTTGCCCTCTGTTACCTCTACTGCTGCGGCCGACCTCGTTGGTCTTGAGTCGGTCGGCGCGACGTCTGCCCCTAGCGGGAGACGCCGCTCAGGTAAGGGCAAGGGGGGCAAGGGCGCTGGAGGAGCTGGCGGGGGCGGTGGAGGCGGCGGTGGAGGCGGCGGAGGGGGTGGGGGTGGCGGTGGGAGTGGTGGCGGGAGTGGGGGCACTAGTGGCGGCAGTGGAGGCGGAGGAGGCGGCGGTGGTGGCGGTGCGGGCGGAGGTGGTGGAGGTGGAGGCGGTGGTGGAGGTAGCGGCGACGGAGGTGGAGCTGGTCGGGGCGGCTCTTTGCAGAGGGTCGGCTCTGGTGGTGGTCAGCGCCAGCAGCAGCAGCAGCAGCGCACTCGTGAGACCCCTTCCCCCCAGCAGCTTCGTGAGTGGTACACTGCTCGTCAGCGGGGTGCTGGCCCCTGTACCTGTCAGGCATATATGCTATAGTCTGTGTAGGCTGTAGTGGGGCAGTTCATATGGGGTACAACACTTTAGGGTTTACTACTTGTACTCCTCATTCTGCTCAATGCATTCATTCTCGTTCTAAACTTTACATGGTATAGAGCTGGTTCCCTCGTGGGAACTGTTCCTAGGGCCCACCGAACTTTTTTTTTCCTGCCCGGAGCGCGCTTGGCCCCTGCCCGAGTCGCGCCCCGTGTCGATCCCCATAATGGCCTCTAGCGGCCCCTCTCACGGCCCCTAGTGGCCCCGTCGCGCCGTCCTCGCGGCCCCGTCGCGCCGCCCTTGCGGCCCCATCGCACCGCCCTCGCGGCCCCTCGTTTCCCCTCGTGGCCCCTTAACGACCACTCGCGGCCCCGTCCCCACCTGCCGCCCTTTTCAACGGCCCCGTCGCCGCCCTCTCAGCGGCCCTGTCGCCGCCCTTTCAGCGACCCCGTCGCCACCCCTTACTGCGGCCCCGTCGCCGCCCTTAGGCGGCCCCGTCGCCACCCCTTTCCACGGCCCCGTTGCCGCCCCTTACTGCGGCCCCGTCGCCGCCCTTCAGCGGCCCCGTCGCCGCCCTTCCGCGGCCCCGTCGCCGCCCCTTACTGCAGCCCCGTCGCCGCCCTTCAGCCGCCTCGTCGCCGCCCTTCCGCGGCCCCGTCGCCGCCCTTTCAGCGGCCCCGTCGCCGCCCTTCAGCGGCCCCGTCGCCGCCCTTCAGCAGCCCCGTCGCCGCTCCTTAGCGGCAGCGACGCCGCCCTTCACGGCCCCGCCAAGCCGCCTTCGCCGCCGACCTGCCGAGCCACTGCGCCGCTGAGCCGCCGAGCCGCCTTTGCTGCTGAGCCGCCGAGCCGCCTTTGCCGCCGAGCCGCCGAGCCGCCGAGCCGCACTGCAGCCAAAGCGCCGCCGCCTGTCGGCCTGCCCGGGACTGCCTCACTTGCCTGGTAAGAGTAGCGCCTCTGCCACTGCACTGCCCTGCCCCACTGTACTCACTGCCTGTCTACTGCTGTCATGGCCACCCCTAGTGTTCTCACCTTTGACGCTGAGGGTCGGGCAGTTGACTTTGAGGTCTGGGTAGATGATCTGCAGCTTTTCCTACAGTGCGATAGGGCAGACGGTCTCTCCTTGTTTGACCTCACTTCTGGTGCCTCTCCTGCTCCTGCTGCTGATGCTGACGCCACTGTTCGCTCACAGTGGGCCACGCGTGATGCTGCTGCTCGTCTTGCTGTGCGCTGCCACTTACCGACCACTGAGCGTGCACACTTTAGCCAGTACAAGAGTGCTCAGACCTTGTACGACGCTGTAGTTGCACGCTACTCTTCCCCTGCCACTGCTGCACTGAGCCGCCTCATGCTACCGTACCTCTTCCCTGACCTTGCTGCCTTTCCCTCACTCGCTGACCTCATTACCCACCTCCGCACTAGTGACACTCGCTACCGCGCTGCGCTTCCTGCTGAGTTCTGCGCCAAGAACCCCCCCCCCCCCATGTACATCACCCTCTACTACATAGTCACCCGACTCCCTGACTCTCTCCGCGTAGTCAGGGACCACTTCCTCTCAGTTTGCCCCACCACTCTCACCGTTGACCTCCTTGAGAAGGCCCTCCTAGCAGTAGAGAAGAGCATAGTCGCTGTAGGAGCCTCTCATGGTGACCCTCGCACCCCCGTCTTTGAGGGGTGTTCCCCCTCCCCCCTCTTGCACTCTGTTGCCTCTGCTGCTGCGGCCGACCTCGTTGGTTTCGAGTCGGTCGGGGGTGCGTCTGCCCCGAGCGGGAGACGCTGCACCGGCAAGGGCAAGGGGGGCAAGGGCGCTGGAGGGGCTGGCGGGGGCGGTGGAGGTGGTGGTGGAGGCAGTGGAGGGGGTGGGGGTGGTGGTGGGAGTGGTGCCGAGGGTGGCGGCGGCGGCGGCAGCAGTGGAGGCGGAGGAGGCGGCGGTGGTGGCGGAGGGAGCGGAGGCGGCGGAGGTGGCGGAGGAGCCGGAGGTGGAGGAGGCGGCGGAGGCAGCGGCGGCAGCGGCGGCGGTGGTGGAGCGGGTCGCGACTCTGCGCAGAGGAGTGGCTCAAGTGGTGGTCCGCGCCAGCAGCAGCGGAGTGGTGTGACCCTGTCCCCTCAGCAGCTTCGTGAGTGGTACACTGCGCGTCAGCGCGGTGGGGGTACTGGTCCCTGCACTTACGTCCTCCGTAACGGCGACCAAGCTGGTGAGCAGTGCGGGGGCCCGCACTCCACCCAGCGCTGCTTCGTTCGCTTGACGGACGCGTGGCGTCGCCAGTTCCCTGAGGCGTCAGAGATCCCTCGCTGGGGAGATCTGTCTAGGGCGGGGGTTGCCATCTTTGATCTTGACTATGATGCTATCCTTGCTGCCATGTATTCTGTGACTACTAGTGTTGAGGGTGACTGTTACCTGTGTGTACCGCTTGATCCAGCCATTGAGGCCACTGCTCTAGGTGCTGGTGAGGCTGCTGCTCTAGGTGCTAGTGCGTCTGCCGCCCCAGGTGCCAGTGCGTCTGTTGCCCCAGGTGCAGGTGAGTCAACTCTCTCAGGTACTACGTCGGCTCAGGCCTTCCACACCTTCACCCTTGACTCGGGCGCGTCCCGCTCCTTCTTTCGAGACCGCACCACTCTTACGCCGCTCAGTAGGCCGATTGCAGTCTCCCTGGCGGACCCCTCTGGGGGTCCTATCCTTGCTAGCTTCTCCACTATTTTACCGTGCCCGGCAGCCCCCTCTGGCACCCTATCAGGTCTCTACCTCCCCTCTTTCTCTACGAACTTGGTGAGTGGAACGCACATACAGGATAGGGGGGTTGACTAGTTCACTCCTGCGAGTCAGCGAGTGACCCACTGCACGTGTGCTCGGTCAGGCCGACACTTGGCCACGTTCACCCGTCGGCCAGGGTCGAGCCTGTACACCCTTACTACTGAGTCTCCTCCGGCTGCTGAGTCTGGCCAGGTAGCTTAGTCGAGTCAAGAGTTTGCTGCAGCGTCCAGGTCTGGTCCTGAGTCTGCTCCCTGCTCGTGTCGTCCACTGTCCCACCAGACTCTCCTCTAGCACCACCGCCTTGGTCACCCCTCCCTGCCTCGTCTCCGAGGCATGGCCTCCCGTGTCCTTGTCTTTGGTCTCCCTCGGTCTCTCCCTCCCCTACCTCCAGGGCCTGGCCCTACCTGCATCCCATGCGTCGAGGGGCGACAGCGCGCCGCCCCTCACTCCTCCGAGTTTCCTCCGACAGAGGCTCCACTACAGACCCTCCACATGGACGTGTGGGGCCCCGCCCGCGTCCGTGGGCAGGGGCACGAGCAGTACTTCTTACTGGTGGTTGACGACTACTCGCGTTACACCACAGTCTTCCCCTTGCGCAGCAAGGATGACGTCACTAAGGTGTTGATCGACTGGATCCGCGCAGCTCGTCTCCAGCTCAGGGAGAGTTTCGGCTCGGACTTTCCTGTTCTGCGTCTGCACTCTGACAGAGGCGGGGAGTTTTCCTCTGCCCGTCTAGGAGCCTTCTGTCGTGCACAGGGCATCCGCCAGACCTTCATGCTTCCGTCCTCTCCACAGCAAAATGGGATTGCTGAGCGCCGCATTGGCATGGTCATGGACGTCGCTCGTACGTCCATGATGCATGCGACTGCCCCCCATTTTCTGTGGCCGTTTGCGGTTCATTACGCCGCGCATCAGCTCAACCTTCAGCCCCGGGTCTCCTTGCCAGAGACCTCCCCCGCCTTGCGGTGGACGGGGAAGGTTGGCGATGCGTTTGCGTTTCGGGTCTGGGGATCTCGGGCGTTTGTCCGCGACTTGTCTGCGGACAAGCTATCACCCAGTGCTGTTCCCTGCGTCTTCCTTGGCTTCCCCCCCGACGCGCCTGGGTGGCAGTTTTACCACCCCACCTCGCGCCGTGTTCTGTCCTCCCAGGACGTCACCTTTGACGAGTCGGTGCCTTACTACCGTCTCTTCCCCTACCGCACTGCGCCCCTCCCCCCGCCGCCGCTCTTCCTTGCGCCAGGTCCTCCCCCGGTAGACCCCCTCCCCCCTCAGGGTCCTGCCCCGTCAGATGTGTCCCAGGTAGACGCAGTCGAGCCTGTCGAGGTAGCTGTTGACTCTGGTGCTGCTAGAGGTGCTGCGCCTGCGGGTGCCGGGTCTGGAGGTGCTGAGTCTGGGGGTGCTGAGATTGGGGGTGTTGAGCCTCTGGGTTCTGGATCTGGGGGTGCTGAGCCTGGGGGTGCTGAGCTTGGAGGTGCGGAGCCTGGGGGTGCGGAGCCTGGGGGCGCTGGGTCTGCTCGTGTGGCCGCCGGCGGTGCTTCGTCGAGGCGGGAGCCACTCTCTCCACACGAGCTGCGCGAGTGGTTTGCCCGCCGCTGGAGACATGCTGCTGAGACTGGGGGTGCTGCTGGGGCTACTGGAGTTGGTCCTGCTGGAGCTGCTGGCGGTGCTGGTGCTGCTGGAGCTGGAGCTGCTGGGGGTGATGGCGCTGGTGTTTCTACTGGCGCTGGTGCGTCTGGGGGTGCTGCTGAGGCTGCTGGTGGTGACGGTCCTACTGGAGTTCGTGCTGCTGGAGCTGGAGCTGCTGGGGGTGTTGGCGCTGGCGGTGCTACTGGCGCTGGTGCTTCTCAGGGTGCTGGAGTTGGCGCTGTTGGAGCTGGAGGTGCTGCTGGCGCAGGTGCTACCGTTGGGGGTACTGGTGCCGTCCTTGCTGGTTCTGGAGGCGCTGCACGTCCGAGGCCGTACTTCGTTCCGCTCCTTGAGCAGGTTCTTGGTCTCCCGCCCTCTACTGGTTCTGCTCCTCCCTTAGAGTGTCCACAGCCTGTCCAGTCGCAGTCTTAGTTACAGCCCGCCTCCCCTCTACCTGCTCCTTCTCCCTACACTGGTCCTACTGGAGGTCTTGCTGAGCGTCGTGCGCCTGCGTCTCGTCCTGCGTTGCCTGTTCGCACTGCTCGCACTAGTCGTCGTGTTCCGCGTCCGCGTCCTACTGCGGTTCCGAGCACACACCAGATGGCACTGCGTCCTTCCACTGCTCCCCTTCGTGTCCCGTTGCCGTCTCCTCAGAGTCCTCTCTTCCTGTCCTTCCTGACCCTGAGTCTGACTCTCTTCGTGCTGCCAGTCGTACTGTCACGCGTCTCCTGGCTACTGTTGTCACTGACCCTTCCTTTGAGTCCACTACTGCGTCTGCCCTAGTTGCTGAGCTTGTTGACTTCGCTGCTCGCTGTCGTCTAGACTACGCTGCTAGTCTCGTTGCTGAGTCTGAGTCTGTCTGTCCTCCGTCCGTCGGGGATGAATGTGCTCTTAGCACGGACGTCCTTGAGGACAAGCAGGAGGAGTTCCAGTGCTTTGCTGCTGCTTTGCCCCATCTCGTGTCCACGCTGATTGCCCCTGAGGGAGACCCGGACGCACCAGACATCCCGACTCCTCGATCGTACGCTGAGGCGATCGAGGGTCCCTACTCCTCTCAGTGGCAGTCGGCCATGGACGCAGAGATGGCTTCCTGGAAGTCCACAGGCACCTACGTTGACGAGGTTCCCCCACCTGGGGCGAACATCGTCAGTGGCATGTGGATTTTCAGGGTGAAGCGGCCGCCGGGTTCTCCGCGTGTCTTCAAGGCACGTTACGTGGCTCGAGGCTTCAGTCAGCGGCAGGGAGTTGACTACTTTCAGACCTTCTCTCCCACCCCGAAGATGGCCACTCTTCGGGTGCTGCTGCACATAGCCGCTCAGCGCGACTACGAGCTTCACTCTCGCGCCCCGTGAGTGGCACGACACACTGAGGACTGTCAGAACATTATAACTTATGCTTTTGTGTAGGCTGTAGTGGGGTAGCCCATATGGGGTACAACCCAATTAGGGTTAGTACTTGTACCCAACTCTTTCATAGTGCATTTATTCTCGTTTCAGTTTCTCATGGTGTCGAGCAGGTTCCTGTCAGTAGATCTGCACTGTGGATGCCCGATTGATCCTGGAGAGGGTTACAGGCGCGTTCGCTTGGGGGGTTATGGGCGCACTGACCCGCTACTGAAATAAGCCCTTTTATCCCAATGGTCTAGTGGTTGGGATTCTGACATGGTATCAGAGCGGTCTCGAGTTCGATTCCCGGTGTATGCACATGTAGGCCGTTGCCGCTGTGCTTATTCCTGGGCCTCCCATTGTGGGGGGGTGTCAGTAGATCTGCACTGTGGATGCCCGATTGATCCTGGAGAGGGTTACAGGCGCGTTCGCTTGGGGGGTTATGGGCGCACTGACCCGCTACTGAAATAAGCCCTTTTATCCCAATGGTCTAGTGGTTGGGATTCTGACAGTTCCCTCGTGGGAACTGTTCCTAGGGCCCACCGATTCGATTTTTTTTCCTGCCCGGAGCGCGCTCAGCCCTTGCCCGAGTCGCGCTCCCCCTTTCTCACTATGTCGCGCCGCCCTACCGGTTGTGTCGCGCCGCCCTTGACGGCACCGATTCGCCGCCCTTTTGGCCCCGTCGCCTACCTGCGACCCCGACGCCTACCTGCGGCCCCGTCGCCTACCTGCGGCCCCGTCGCCTCCTTGCGGCCCCGGCGCTGCCCTTCCCGGCCCCGACGCCGCCCTTCGCGACCCGGCCCCGACCCAGATGGCCCCATAGCCTAGCCCTGCGGCCCCGTCGCTGCCCTTCCCGGCTTAGGCGCCGCCCTTTCTCGGCCCCGACGCCGCCCTTCCCGACCCGGCCCAGTCTCTGTTGGCCCCGTCGCCTACCTTACGGCACCGGCGCCGCCCCTTCCCGTCCCCGGCCCAGCCCCTGCTGGCCTCGTCGCACGCCCTTCCCGGCCCCGACCCCGCCTTCACGCGGCCCCGCCGAGCTACAACCGAGCCGCCAGCGCCACCCGAGCCGCCCGAGCCGCCGCGCCACCTGAGCCGCCCGAGCCGCCGTCCCGCCGAGCCGCCTGAGCCGCCCGAGCCGCCCAAGCCGCCCGAGCCGCCGTCCCGCCGAGCGGCCCGAGCCGACCGAGTCGCCTGAGCCGCCCGAGCCGCCCGAGCCGCCCGAACCGCAGAGCAGCCGAGCTGCCGAGCTGCAGTTCCTGCCGAGCTGCCCGAGCCGCCTTGTTCGGTAAGAGCAGCGCCTCTATCACTGCACTGCCCTTACCCCACTGTTCGCGCTACTAGTCTACTGCTGTCATGGCTACCCCTAGTGTCCTCGCTTTTGACGCTGAGGGTCGGACCATTGACTTTGATGTCTGGGTAGATGACCTGCAGCTTTTCCTACAGTGCGATAGGGCAGACGGTCTCTCCCTCTTTGACCTCACCTCTGGTGCCTCTCCTACCCCTGCTGCTGATGCTGACCCCACAGTTTTCTCCCAGTGGGCCACGCGCGATGTTGCTGCACGTCTTGCTGTGCGTCGCCACCTGCCTACCCCTGAGCGTGCGCACTTGAGCCAGTACAAGAGTGCTCAGACCTTGTACGACGCTGTAGTTGCACGCTACTCCCCCCCTGCCACTGCTGCACTGAGCCGCCTCATGCTACCGTACCTCTTCCCGGACCTTGCTGCCTTTCTCACAGTCGCTGACCTCATTACGCACCTCCGCACTAGTGACACTCGCTACCGCGCTGCGCTTCCTGCTGAGTTCTGCGCCAAGAACCCCCCCCCCCCATGTACATCACTCTCTACTACATAGTCACCCGCCTCCCTGACTCCCTTCGCGTAGTCAGGGACCACTTCCTCTCAGTTTGCCCCACCACCCTCACCGTTGACCTCCTCGAGAAGGCCCTCCTAGCAGCGGAGAAAAGCATAGTCGCTGTAGGAGCCTCTCGTGGTGACCCTCGCACCCCCATCTTTGAGGGGTGTTCCCCCTCCCCCCTTTTGCCCTCTATTGCCTCTGCTGCTGCGGCCGACCTCGTTGGGCTTGAGTCAGTCGGTGCGGCGTCTACCCCTAGCGGGAGACGCCGCCCTGGCAAGGGCAAAGGGGGCAGGGGCGCTGGAGGAGCTAGCGGGGGCGGTGGAGGCGGTGGAGGGAGTGGGGGTGGCAGTGGGGGTGGTGGCGGGGGTGGCGGTGTCGGTGGCGGCAGTGGAGGCGGAGTCGGCGGCGGTGGCGGTGGGAGCGGAGGTGGTGGCGGAGGTGGCGGCGGTGGAGGAGGCGGTGGCGGAGGAGGTGGAGCTGGTCGGGGTGGCGCTGCGCAAAGGGTCGGCTCCGGTGGTGGTCAGCGCCAGCAGCAGCAGCGCACTCGTGACATCCCCTCCCCTCCCACACCTTCATCCTTGACTCAAGGGCTTCTCGCTCCTTCTTTCGAGACCGCACCACACTCACGCCGCTTGGCTGGCCAGTTGCAGTCTCTCTGGGAGACCCCTCTGGGGGTCCTTTCCTTGCTCACTACTCTACTGTCCTCCCGTGTCCAGCGGCCCCCTCTGGCACCCTTTCTGGTCTTTACCTCCCCTCGTTCTCTACAAACATGGTGAGTGGTGCTGACCTACAGGATGCGGGGGTTCACCAGTTCACTCCTGCGCGTCAGCGGGTGACCCATTGCACGGACGCTCGGACAGGCCGACACTTGGCCACGTTTACACGTCGGCCGGGGTCGAGCCTGTACACATTGACCACTGCGTCTCCTCCAGTCACTGCGTCTGGTCAGGTAGCTGCGTCGGGTCAGGTGTTTGCTGCAGCGTCCAGGTCTTGTCCAAAGTCTGCACCCTGCTCGTGTCGCCTCCTGTCTCACGAGACTCTTCTCTGGCACCACCGCCTTGGTTACCCCTCCTTGCTTTGTCTCCGGGGCATGGCCTCCCGTGTCCTTGTCTCTGGTCTTCCCCGGTCCCTCCCTCCCCTTCCTCCTGGGCCTGGCCCTACTTGCGTCCCCTGTGTCGAGGGGCGGCAGCGGGCTGCCCCTCACTCCTCCCAGTTTCCTCCGACAGAGGCCCCGCTCCAGACGCTTCACATGGACGTGTGGGGCCCGGCCCGTGTCCGTTGACAGGGTAACGAGCGCTACTTCCTGCTGGTGGTTGACGACTACTCGCGTTACACCACAGTCTTCCCCTTGCGCAGCAAGGGTGATGTCACTGCGGTGTTGATCGACTGGATCCGCGCAGCTAGTCTCCAGCTCAGGCACAGCTTCGGCTCGGACTTTCCTGTTCTGCGTCTGCACTCTGACAGAGGCGGAGAGTTCTCCTCTGGCCTTCTGCGAGCCTACTATCGTGCACGAGGCATCCGCTAGACCTTCACGCTTCCAGACTCTCCACAGCAAAATGGGATTGCTGAGCGCCGCATTGGCATGGTCATGGATGTCGCTCGTACGTCCATGATCCATGCGGCTGCCCCCCATTTTCAGTGGCCGTTTGCGGTTCGCTACGCGGCGCATCAGATCAACCTTCACCCCAGGGTATCCATGCCGGACACCTCCCCAGCTTTGCTGTGGATGGGGAAGGTTGGCGATGCGTCTGCGTTCCGTGTCTGGGGATCTCGGGCGTTTGTCCGCGACTTGTCTGCGGACAAGCTGTCCCCTCGTGTTGCTCCTTGCGTCTTCCTTGGCTTCCCCCCTGACGCGCCAGGGTGGCAGTTCTACCACCCCACCTCTCGCCGTGTTCTGTCCTCCCAGGACGTCATGTTTGACGAGTCGGTCCCCTACTACCGCCTCTTCCCCTACCACACTCCGTCCCTCCCCCCGCCACCGCTCTTCCTTGTACCAGGTCACCCCCCGGTAGACCCCCTCCCCCCTCAGGGTCCTGCCCCTTCAGGTGTGTCCCAGGTAGACGCAGTCGAGCCTGTCGAGGTTACTGGTGACTCTCGTGCTGCTGAGGGTGCTGAGCCTGGGAGTGCTGACTCTGGGGGTGCTGAGCCTGCGGGTGCTACTACTAGGGGTGCTGAGCCTGGGGGTGCTGCGACTGGGGGTGCTGAGCCTGGGGGTGCTGAGCCCGGGGGTGCTGCAACTTGGGGTGCTGAGCCTGGGGGTGCTGAGCCTGTGGGTGCTCCGCGTGGGGGTCCTGTGCCTGGGGGTGCTACGCCTGGAGGTGCTGAGCCTGGAGGTGCGGAGCCTGAGGGAGTTGGGCCTACTCGTGTGGCGTCTGGCGGTGCTGGGCCTGGAGGTTCTCCGGGTGCTTCGTCTCGACGGGAGCCCCTCTCTCCACAGGAGCTGCGTGAGTGGTTTGCCTGGCGCTGGAGGCGTGCTGCTGGAGCTGGAGGTTCTCCGGCTGCTGAGGGTGCTGGTGCCGCGGGTCCCGGAGGTGCTCGTGCTGGGAGCACTGGAGCTGCTGGGCCTGCGGGTGCGACTGGAGCTGGAGCTGCTCAGGGTGTTGGCGCTGAGGCTACTGCTGTCGGTCCTGGAGGCGGTCCTGCTGGGGGTACTACTGGTGCTGCTGGAGGTACTGGAGCTGGAGGTGCTCCTGGCGCTGGTGCTGCCGCTGGGGGTGCTGGTGCTGTCCCTGCTGTGTCTGGAGTCGCCACGGGGCCTCGACCGTACTTCGTTCCGCTCCTTCAGCAAGTTCTTGGTCTCCCGCCTTCTACTGGTCCTCCTCCTCCCTTAGAGTGTCCACAGCCTGTCCCGTCACAGTTACAGTTACAGCCGACCTCCCCAGTGCCTGCTCCTTCTCCCTACACTGGTCCTACTGGAGGTCTTGCTGAGCGTCGTGAGCGTGCGTCTCGCCCTGCGTCGCCTGTCCGTGCTGCTCGCACTGGTGGTCGTGGTTCGCGTCAACGTCCTCCTCCTGTCCCTGGCACGCACCGGATGTCTCTGCGTCCGTCCACTGCCCCTCTGCGTGCCAGTTTGCCTTCTCCTCCTGAGTCCTCTCTTCCTGCTCTTGCCGACCCGGAGTCGGACTCTCTTCGTGCTGCCAGTCCTACTGTCACGCGTCTCCTGGCTACTGTCGTCACTGACCCTTCTTTCGAGTCCACTTCTGCGTCTGCCCTAGTTGCTGAGGTCGTCGACTTTGCTGCTCGCTGTCGTCTAGACTACGCTGCTAGTCTTGTCGCTGAGTCTGAGTCTGTCTGTCCTCCGTCCGTCGGGGGTGAGTGTGCCCTTGGCACGGACGTCCTTGAGGACAGGCAGGAGGAGTTCCAGTGTTTGGCTGCTGCTTCACCTCATCTCGGGTCCGTACTGCTTACCCTTGAGGGAGACCCGGATGCACTTGACTTCCCCACTCCGCGCTCTTACGCGGAGGCGATAGAGGGTCCCTACTCCTCTCAGTGGCAGGCAGCTATGGACACAGAGATGGCTTCCTGGAAGTCAACAGGCACCTACGTTGATGAGGTTCCCCCGCTTGGGGCGAACATCGTCAGTGGCATGTGGATTTTCAGGGTGAAGCGGCCGCCGGGTTCTCCGCCTGTCTTCAAGGCGCGTTACGTGGCTCGTGGCTTCAGTCAGCGATAGGGAGTTGACTACTTTCAGACCTTCTCTCCCACCCCGAAGATGACCACTCTTCGGGTACTGCTGCACATAGCTGCTTACCGCGACTACGAGCTGCACTCTTTTGACTTCAGCACTACTTTCTTGCAGGGCAGCCTGCACGAGGAGATCTGGCTGCGTCGCCCACCTGGCTTCACTGGGTCTTTTCCTCCTGGCACCCAGTGGAGCCTCTGGCGGCCAGTCCACGGTCTCCGCCAGGCACCGCGTGAGTGGCACGACACACTAAGGACTACACTTGCGGCTCTTGGGTTTGCTCCCTCTACTGCCAACCCGTCCTTGTTTCTGCGCACCGACACTTCTTTGCCACCGTTCTACATCCTCGTGTACGTCGACGACTTGGTCTTTGCCACAACTGACACTGCTGGACTCGCCCACGTGAAGTCCGAGCTGCAGAAGAGACACACGTGCACAGACCTGGGTGAACTGCGCAGCTACCTTGGCTTGCAGATCACCCGGGACAGAGCACAGCGCACCATTACCCTGACTCAGTCACACATGGTGCACCAGGTCCTTCAGCACTTCGGCTTCACGTACTCCTCGCCTCAGGCCACTCCTCTGCCTACTCGCCACTCGCTCTCAGCTCTGCCTTCGGATGAGTCCGTAGAGTCGAGTGGCCCGTACCCAGAGCTTGTTGGCTGCCTCATGTACCTGATGACCTGCACTCGACCTGACCTTGCATACCCTCTTAGCATTCTCGCACGCTATGTTGCTCCTGGGAGACACAGACCGGAGCATATGGCTGCAGCAAAGAGGGTGTTGCGCTACTTGTGCAGTACGTCGGGCATGGGGCTTGTGCTTGGAGAGCAGAGTCCAGCGGTCCTCACTGGGCACGCAGACGCTTCTTGGGCTGACAACCAGGCTACGCAGTGGTCGTCACAGGGTTACACCTTCAGCCTTGGTTCCGGCTCTGTTTCGTGGCGGGCTACCCGCTCGTCTTCTGTTCTCGGCTCCAGTTGTGAGGCTGAGATCCACGCCGGGGCCATGGCTGCACAGGAGCTACGCTGGCTCACCTAGTTGCTGACTAACCTCGGAGAGCCGCCTCGTTCTCCTCCAGTGCTATACCTAGACAACAAGGCCATGCTGGCCTGTGTCGAGAGCAGAGACTGGAGCACAGAATGAAGCACATTGCTCTCCGCTACTTCCTTGCTCGTGAGCTGCAGCAGCATGGTCAGCTGCGCCTTGCGTACGTGGCCTCTGAGGCCAACACTGCTGATATCTTCACCAAGGCGCTTGCGCCTTGTGATCATCAGCGCTACTGTACTCAGCTGGGTCTTGTGCCTGCCTTGCCTCACTTGCTCACCTCTTGACCTTGCTTGTACTGTTACATATATATATACACCTACTCTTGCTTGTCTAGTTTTTTATATATATATATGTACTCTTGCATGTGGACTGGCCTTGTGGCCTTGACCTTGTGCTCGGAATGTGTGGTGACTTTGTGATCCACCCTGAGCTTGCTTTGCTTTGCTTTGCTTGATTGGTCTTGTGACCCCTTGTACTCTCCCACTTTGCCAATGGGGGTGTGTAAGAACATTATAGCCTATGCTTTTGTGTAGGCTGTAGTGGGGTAGCCCATATGGGGTACAACCTGATTAGGGTTAGTACTTGTACCCAACTCTTTCATAGTGCATTCATTCTCGTTTCAGTTTTCTCAAGGACTACACTTGCAGCTCTTAGGTTTGCTCCTTCTACTGCCGACCCGTCGCTGTTTCTGCGCACCGACACCTCTTTGCCGCCGTTCTACATCCTTGTGTACGTCGGCGACTTGGTCTTTGCCACTGCTGACACTGCTGGACTCGCCCACGTGAAGTCCGAGCTGCAGAAGAGACACACGTGCACAGACCTGGGTGAACTGCGCAGCTACCTTGGCTTGCAGATCACCCGGGACAGAGCACAGCGCACCATTACCCTGACTCAGTCACACATGGTGCAGCAGGTCCTTCAGCACTTCGGCTTCACGTACTCCTCGCCTCAGGCCACTCCTCTGTCTACTCGCCACTTGCTCTCAGCTCTGCCTTCGGATGAGTCCGTAGAGCCGAGTGGCCCGTACCCAGAGCTTGTTGGCTGCCTCATGTACCTGATGACCTGCACACGACCTGACCTTGCATACCCTCTTAGCATCTTGGCACGCTATGTTGCTCCTGGGAGACACCGACGAGAGCACATGGCTGCAGCGAAGAGGGTGTTGCGCTACGTGTGCAGTACGTCGAGCATGGGGCTAGTGCTTGGAGGGCGACGTCGAGTGGTCCTCACAGGTCACGCAATCGCTTCTTGGGCTGACGACCAGGCTCAGCAGCGGTCATCACAGGGTTACACCTTCAGCCTTGGCTCCGGCTCTGTTTCGTGGCGGTCTACCCGCTCGTCTTCTGTTCTCAGCTCCAACTGTGAGGCTGAGATCTACGCAGGGGCCATGGCTGCACAGGAGCTACGCTGGCTCACCTACTTGCTGACTGACCTAGGAGAGCCGCCTCGTTCTCCTCCTCTCCTGTACTTAGACAACAAGGCCATGCTGGCCTTGTGTCGGGAGCACAGACTTGAGCACAGAACGAAGCACATTGCTCTCCGCTACTTCCTGGCTCGTGAGCTGCAGCATCGTGGTCAGCTCCGCCTCACCTACGTGGCCTCTGAGGCCAACTTTGCTGATATCTTCACCAAGGCCCTTCCGCCTTGTGATCATCAGCGCTTCTGTGCTATGCTAGGTCTTGTGCCTACTTGGCCTCACTTGCTTACTTCTTGATCTTGTTTGTACTGTACTCTTTCTATACCTGCACTTGCTTGTTTACCTTTATATATATGATCTTGCATGTGAACTGGCCTTGTGGCCTTGCTCTTGTGCTCGGACTGTGTGGTGACGTTGTGATCCACCCTGAGCTTGCTTTGCTTTGCTTGACTGGTCTTGTGACCCCTTGTTCTCCCCCACTTTGCCTATGGGGGTGTGTCAGGCATATATGCTATAGTCTGTGTAGGCTGTAGTGGGGCAGTTCATATGGGGTACAACACTTTAGGGTTTACTACTTGTACTCCTCATTCTGCTCAATGCATTCATTCTCGTTCTAAACTTCACAGTACCTACGTTCTACGTACAGGCGACCGCGCGGGTGACCAGTGTGGGGGTCCGCACTCCACCCAGCGCTGCTTCGGCCGCCTGACGGACGCTTGGCGTCATCAGTTCTCCGACGCTATTGAGATCCCTCGCTGGGGCGAGCTCTCTAGGGCGGGTGTTGCGATCTTTGATCTTGATTATGATGCTATTCTTGCTGCAATGTATGCTGTGACTATTAGTGATGAGGGTGACTGTTACCAGTGTTTTCCGCCTGACCCGTGCATTGAGGCTGCTGCTCTAGGTGCTGGTGAGGCTGCTGCTCTAGGTGCCAGTGAGCTTGCTGCCCCAGGTGCTGGTGAGTCTGCGCTCTCAGGTACCGTGTCGGCTCTGGCCACCCACACCTTCACCCTTGACTCGGGTGCTTCCCGCTCTTTCTTTCAAGACCGCACCACGCTTATGCCGCTTAGTCGGCCAGTGGCAGTCTCCCTGGCAGACCCCTCTGGGGTCCTGTCCTTGCCCACTTCTCCACTGTTCTACCGTGTCCTGCGGCCCCTTCTGGCAACCTAACGGGTCTTTACCTCCCCTCGTTCTCTACGAACTTGGTGAGTGGTGCTGACCTCCAGGATGGAGGGGTTCACCAGTTCACTCCTGCGGGTCAGCGGGTGACCCACTGTACCTGTGCTCGGACGGGCTGTCACTTGGCCACGTTTACCCGTCAGCCGGGGTCGAGCCTGTACACACTGACTAATGAGTCTCCTCCGGTCGCTGAGTCTGCTCAGGTAGCCGCGTCGGGTCAGGTGTTTGCTGCGGCGTCCAGGTCTGGTCCGGAGTCTGCCCCCTGCTCGTGTCGTCTCCTGTCTCACCAGACTCTCGTCTGGCACCACCGCCTTGGTCACCCCTCCCTGCCTCGTCTTCGAGGCATGGCCTCCCGTGTCCTTGTCTCTGGTCTCCCCCGGTCCCTCCCTCCCCTTTCACCGGGGCCTGCCCCCACCTGCGTTCCCTGCGTCGAGGGGCGGCAGCGCGCTGCTCCTCACTCCTCCGAGTTTCCTCCGACAGAGGCTCCGCTGCAGACGCTTCACATGGACGTGTGGGGCCCAGCCCGCGTCCATGGACAGGGTCACGAGCGTTACTTCCTGCTGGTGGTTGACGACTACTCGCGTTACACCGCAGTCTTCCCCATGCGCACCAAGGGTGAGGTCACTGAGGTGTTGATCGCCTGGATCCGCGCAGCTCGTCTCCAGCTCAGAGAGAGTTTCGGCTCGGACTTTCCTGTTCTACGTCTGCACTCTGACAGAGGCGGAGAGTTCTCCTCTGACCTTCTGCGAGCCTTCTGTCGTGCACGAGGCATCCGCCAGACCTTCACGCTTCCGGACTCTCCGCAGCAAAATGGGATTGCTGAGTGCCGCATTGGCATGGTCATGGACGTCGCTCGTACGTCCATGGTCCATGCGGTTGCCCCCCATTTTCTGTGGCCGTTTGCTGTTTGGTACGCGGCGCATCATATCAACCTTCAGCCCCGGGTCTCCATGCCGGAGACCTCCCCTGCTTTGCTGTGGACGGGGAAGGTTGGCGATGCGTCTGCGTTCCGTGTCTGGGAATCTCGGGCGTTTGTCCGCGACTTGTCTGCGGACAAGCTGTCCCCTCGTGTTGTTCCTTGCGTCTTCCTTGGCTTCCCCCCTGACGCGCCGGGCTAGCAGCTCTACCACCCCACCTCGCGACGTATTTTGTCCTCCCAGGACGTCACGTTTGACGAGTCGGTTCCCTACTACCGTCTCTTCCCCTACCGCACTGCCCCCCTCCCCCCCCCGTCGCTCTTCCTTACGCCAGGTCCCCCTCCGGTAGACCCCCTCCCCCCTCAGGGTCCTGCCCCCTCAGGTGTGTCTCAGGTAGACGAAGTCGACCCTTGTCGAGGTAGCTGTTGACTCTGGTGCTGCTAGGGGTGTTGAGCTTGCGGGTGCTGGGTCTGGGGGTGCTGACTCTGGGGGTGCTGAGCCTGGGGGTGCTGACTCTTTGGGTGGTGCGCGTGGGGGTGCTGAGCCTGGGGGTGCTACGCCTGGGGGTGCTGTGTCTGGGGGTGCTGAGCCTGGGGGTGCTGCGTCTGGGTGTGCAGAGTTTGAGGGTACCTGACCTGCTCGTGAGGCGACTGGCGGTGCTAGGCCTGGAGGTTCTTCGGGTGCTTCGTCCCGGCGGGAGCTACTCTCTCCACAGGAGCTGCGTGAGTGGTTTGCTCGGCGCTGGAGGCGAGCTGCTGGAGCTGGAGGTGCTGCGGGTGCTGGAGTTTCTGCTGCTGCTGAGGGTGCTGGTGCCGCGGGTCCCGGAGGTGCTCGTACTGGGAGTACTGGAGCTGCTGGGCCTGCGGGTGCTTCTCGTACTGGAGGTGGTGGTGCTGCGGGCGTCGGTGCTACTGAGGGTGCTGGAGTTGGACCCGCTGCGTCTTCTGGTGGTCCGGCTGGAGCTGGAGCTGCTGGGGGTGTTGGCGCTGAGGGTGCCTCTGGTGCTGGTGCCTCTGAGGGTACTGGAGTTGGCACTGCTGGAGCTGGGGGTGCTGCTGGCGCTGGTGTTGTTGTTCGGGGTGCTGGTGCTGTCCCTTTTGGTGCTGGTGGTGCTGAGCGGCCGCGGCCGTGCTTCGTTCCGCTCCTTGAGCAGGTTCTTGGTCTTCCGCCCTCTACTGGTCCAGCTCCTCCCTTAGAGTGTCCACCGCCTGTCCAGTCCGAGTAACAGTTACAGCCTACCTCTCCTCTGCCTGGTCCTTCTCCCTACACTGGTCCTACTGGAGGTCTTGCTGAGCGTCGCGAGCCTACGTCTCGTCCTGCGTCGCCTGTCCGTGCTGCTCATACTAGTAGTCTTGGTTCGCGTCAGCGTCCTCCCCCTGTTCCCAACACGCACCGGGTGTCTCTGCGTCCCTCTACTGCTCCGCTACGTGCCCCTTTGCCTTCTCCTCCTGAGTCCTCTCTTCTTGTTCTTGCTGACCCGGAGTCGGACTCCCTTTGTGCTGCTAGTCCTACTATCACACGTCTCCTTGCTACTGTCGTCACTGACCCTTCCTTTGAGTCCACTGCTGCGTCTGCCTTAGTTTCTGAGCTTGTCGACTTCGCTGCTCACTATCGCCTAGACTACGCTGCTAGTCTTGTCGCTGAGTCTGAGTGTGTCTGTCCTCCGTCCGTCGGGGGGGCGTGTGCCCTTGGCACGGACGTCCTTGAGGACAGGCAGGAGGAGTTCCAGTGCTTTGCTGCTGCTTCACCTCATCTCGTGTCCATGCTGCTTGCCCGTGAGGGAGACCCAGATGCACCAGACATCCCGACTCCGCGCTCTTACGCGGAGGCGATAGAGGGTCCCTACTCCTCTCAGTGGCAGGCAGCCATGGATGCAGAGATGGCTTCCTGGAAGTCCACAGGCACCTACGTCGACTAGGCTCCCCCTCCTAGGGCGAACATCGTCAGTGGCATGTGGATTTTCAGGGTGAAGCGGCCGCCGGGTTCTCCGCCTGTCTTCATGGCGCGCTACGTGGCTCGTGGCTTCAGTCAGCGGCAGGGAGTTGACTACTTTCAGACCTTCTCCCCCACCCCGAAGATGTCCACTCTTCGGGTACTGCTGCACATAGCCGCTCACCGTGACTACGAGCTACACTCTCTTGACTTCAGCACTGCTTTCTTGCAGGGCAGCCTGCACGAGGAGATCTGGCTGCGCCGCCCACCTGGCTTCACTGGGTCTTTTCCTCCTGGTACCCTGTGGAGCCTCCGACGGCCAGTCTACGGTCTCCGCCAGGCACCTCGTGAGTGGCACGACACACTGAGGACTACAGTTGCGGCTCTTGGCTTTGCTCCTTCTACTGCCGACCCGTCGCTGTTTCTGCGCACCGACACTTGTTTGCCGCCGTTCTACATCCTCGTGTACGTCGACGACTTGGTCTTTGCCACAGCTGACACTGCTGGACTCGCCCACGTGAAGTCCGAGCTGCAGAAGAGACACACGTGCACAGACCTGGGTGAACTGCGCAGCTACCTTGGCTTGCAGATCACTCGAGACAGAGCACAGCGCACCATTACCCTGACTCAGTCACACATGGTGCAGCAGGTCCTTCAGCGCTTCGGCTTCACGTACTCCTCGCCTCAGGCCACTCCTCTGTCTACTCGCCACTCGCTCTCAGCTCTGCCTTCGGATGAGTCCGTAGAGTCGAGTGGCCCATACCCAGAGCTTGTTGGCTGCCTCATGTACCTGATGACCTGCACTCGACCTGACCTTGCATACCCTCTTAGCATTCTGGCACGCTATGTTTCTCCTGGGAGACACAGACCAGAGCACATGGCTGCAGCGAAGAGGGTGTTGCGCTACTTGTGCAGTACGTCGGGCATGGGGCTTGTGCTTGGAGGGCGGAGTCCAGTGGTCCTCACTGGTTACGCAGACGCTTCTTGGGCTGACGACCAGGCTACGCAGCGGTCGTCACAGGGTTACACCTTCAGCCTTGGCTCCGGCTCTGTTTCGTGGCGGTCTACCCGCTCGTCTTCTGTTCTCGGCTCCAGTTGTGAGGCTGAGATCTACGCAGGGGCCATGGCTACATAGGAGCTACGCTGGCTCACCTACCTGCTGACTAACCTAGGATAGCCGCCTCGTTCTCCTCCAGTTCTGTACGTAGACAACAAGGCTATGCTGTCCTTGTGTCGGGAGCACAGACTGGAGCACAGAACGAAGCACATCGCTCTTCGCTACTTCCTTGCTCGTGAGCTGCAGCAGCGCGGTCAGCTGCGTCTTGCTTACGTGGCCTTTGAGGCCAACACTGCTGATATCTTCACCAAGGCACTTGCGCCTTGTGACCATCAGCACTTCTGTACTCTGTTAGGTCTTGTACCTACCTTGCCTCACTTGCTAACTTCTTGACCTTGCTTGTACTGTTACATATATATATACCTGCTCTTGCTTGTTTAGCGTTATATATATGTGTGTACTCATGCATGTGAACTGGCCTTGTGGCCTTGAACTTGTGCTTAGAATGTGTGGTGACGTTGTGATCCACCCAGGGCTTTTTTTTGGATTTTCACTACTCGGATTTCTAGAGCTGTTTTCTAGAGAACTCTGAAATTCAGGGTTCATTATGAGCGTTACTCTGATTTGTCAGAGAAAACTTAACTTCTGAAAAATCTATTCTGGCCACCCAGTGGACCTATTTTTCCAACTGTGGGTGCCCTCTCAAGTATTGAACCCAGGCCCTCTGCACTCCTACCAGAAAAACTAAGCGTTGTGCTACGCGCTCACCAAGTTGTTGAGTTTTATATATCTGTTAACCCTTCCCATCTTCCAACAATTGGGGGGGGGGAGGGGGGGGCAGGGGGGGGGGGGGGTTGTGACACGGTGAAATGCCTATACCCTGTACAGAGAAAGGTATATCGGTCACAAATATACACTGGTCATAGTAGCTAAAATCAGAACCCTGACAAATCAGAGAAAACTTATCCTCCAAAAAAATTACCCAGACACGTCAGAGTGACCCCCTAAAAACCACTCTGATTTTCAGAGAAACAGAGTAATTTACTCTGATAAAAAAACCCCTGGATCCACCCTGAGCTTACTTTGTCTTGCTTTGTTTGACTGGTCTTGTGACCCCTTGCTTCCCCCCACTTTGCCTATGGGGGTGTGTTGAACTTATATGATCTAGCCTGTGTAGGCTGTAGCGGGTTAGATACTAAAGGGTACACAATTCTAGGGTTTCACTTTCATTCCTTAGTCATTCATTCTCGTTCTAAGTTTCTCATGAACCATACCAGGATGTTTGAATGCATTTTTCCTTGAATGTATTCAGGGTTGTCTGAATGTCAATCTGACAATTGGTGAGATAACAAGAGCCCTGCTCGAACCACAACCATGCAAGTGCAGGAATTCCATTATATACTCGAAGTAATCAAATTAATCATAGATAAACACATTCTGCTTGCTCCAATCAAAGTACCAGTTAGTAAAGACCGCTCTTAATCGCATGCCCTTTACCGTGAGTGCTCCCCACCCATTCGATGCCAATAACGTATGAACAACCGAGGAGACCAAGTAAACCCCAACATTTCTCCTGGCTTTGGTGACTTTCTTTAGCTGGCTGTAGGTAATGGACGCCATGTCCAACAGTGCACGCCGCTCCTGAGGTCGACAATACCAGTTCGTCCAGTGCACATGACCCCACGCTCTCCACTCAACAATGGTCGCGATATTCGGATGCTGGCCAAAAATCTCGTTGTGGAGACACATCCGCATGTACTTTGTGTCTCCAGGTAACTGGTTACCGTAAGCGATCAGAATCTTGTCGAAAAGCGACTGGTAGAGGAAGATGGGCGTGGAAACGGTTTTGAGGGCGTATTGAGGGAAGAAGCACATCCAACTGCGCTGTACCCTCCCACCTGCATGGGATTATGTGGAAAGTGGTGATAACCAAGACATGGCTGGCTGTAAGTTCTCACATCAAAGAATGCTCTTGCACAAGTGCGTTGGAACTTGTAACACATGGCAATGCAAGCTCCAAGAACCAGTACTGTTGCATGTGAGACGTGGGAACGATAGCAGGGCCTCTTGCGAGGACGAATGAGATCAGGGGACGAAAAGGAGGCTGGTGTCACGAGTGACAGACATTTAAGTGCATTGCGCATACATGAGTTCAGAAGTGAAGACACAGCACCTGTGTAGCAGTTAGGGATGTTGATGTTGTGTGTCGTTGCAACTGCTTTCACATACTTCCGCGCATGCCGATTTCCCAATCTGTCCTTGGCATCTGCCAAACAATACATTGTTGGGAAGTGCAGTTGAGAGCACAAAACCATACACATGACTTACAGAACGGTAGGGCTATGGCAGTAGCACAGCAGTTACAGGGCATTCATTGTCGGGGGCATTGAATATTTGTCGCCAGGTCAAGGGAAGAAGGGAAACGCCTGCACAAGGCAAAAAAGAGCGCTGACCAGTAATGAAGGCAGAGTCCGAGAGGCACTTGGTGGCAGCAGCAGGGAAGGCAGCCGCCATGCGATCGCACAGCATTATCACCGCCTGCCCACCCGCTGAACACCCCGACAGCAAAACCTGTGTAGCAGCGTTTGCTCCTCGGTTGAGATTTATGTCTGGCGGGACCGAGGGGACGAAGACGCGGGTATGGGGAGGGGCAGGTGGTGGCGAGAGAGGAGGGACGCTCTGGGGGATTCTCAAGAAGGATAATTGCAAGGTGACGAGACGGCAAGAGCGCTGGGAGGGTGGAAGTGAGGGAATCAGAATTTGCGATTTGATGTTAATGTAGAATGGAAGGGGGAGAGGGGTGTGGGAAGAGGCAAGAGGGAAGAATGGAGAGGGGAAGAGGCAGGGGTGTAAGGGGATGGGAGAAAGTAGACAGGGGAAGATGGATGATAGAACGAGGGATGGTCGAAAGAGGGATGGTGGAAAAGGTGGATGGGGAGAGGGGCGAGGTTGAGGGAAGGGTGGGAGCAGGGAGGTGGTAACAGGGTGGCTGACGAAAAGGTGGATGCTAGTGAAAGTGCAACCACCCAGCTCCATGGGTGAAAGGTCACGGCCTGGTGAAGCAGCGCCACGCACCATGCATCACCGCCTGCACGTTGTTCCACCCCTGCATGTGAATCATGCGCTGCTTCCCGGGCCCCACGTGCACGCGCACAGGGCCGCGTATGCTCATGTACCCGCCGCCATCGCAGTAGAGCATCACGACGAGGTTCCACGAGTGGAAAGCGGGGTTGCTGCGCCTCCTCTCCGACAGTATTCCGCGCATCTTCGGCGCGTACTGCTTTCCCTGGTCGCGGGGACCGGCGGGGCGCGCGTGAGAGGGGAAGGGGAAGGGAAGGCGGGTGTGGAGGGTGAGAGGGGAGAGGAGCGGGACGGGAGTGAAGATAAGGAAGAGGAGATGGGAGAAGGGCGAGCGGGAAGAAATATCATGCGATGGAAAAGATCAGAAGGATTTGCAGCGGGGGGGGTGGGGGGGGGGGGGGGGGGGGGGGGGGGGGGGAAAGGGAGAGAGGCGAGGAGGAGGGGAGGGGGGTGGAGAGGGGGAGGGGGAGGGGGAAGGCAAATAGATGGCTACCAATGCCTGATTATACTGTGGCTTTCCCTCCCATCTCCTTGTTGCCCGCTCCCGCTGCTAGCATGACGGCAAAAAAAAAAAAAAAAAAAATTGCACCAAGGCGGCAGCCTTTCCGCGGCATACCTTGGGAAACCCGGGATCAGCGGCCCAGTACTTGGACGAGCCAACGCTGGTGAGCGTTCGATTCACGCATTCCCCTTCCGACGCACACCACCCGCCCCCCAGCAGGTGAATGTGCCACCTCAGCCGCCCCGAGCCCGTCCCCGGCCGAAAGTAGTACCCTGGGGGGCTGGAGGAAGAGGGTGAGGGGATGGAAGGGTGAGAGGGGGAGGAGACGGGATGGGCGATGCGGCGGCGGGGATGGTTGGAACTCGGAGGGATTAGGCACATGTTTAGGAGGGCTATGGCTATGGATGGCTATCAGATTAATCGATGACACTCCCGATGCGACTGGGCTTTCTAGAGAGGAGGTCCCGCTTGCCATTCGACGATGAAGAGTCACAATGATCCGTGTGGGAAAAACATATGATGCCTGCGAGCGGTTGTGTCCGAACCCTGCTGCTGAGCTGAATAACACGTACGAAGCTTCGCGTGTATTCGACTCGAGTTTGACAGCGAAACGCCGCGCGGTAGTCGGTGTGCGGATTGTAGCCGGCGGCGACTGTGACGGTGTTCGGCTTGCGAGCTCGTGAACATTGTGATACGCGAGTAGCGATGCGACCGTTGATGCTCGTGCATCCATCCGACGGACGATCACGAATGCGTCGGGCTGTTGGCTGTCAAGACGCACGGAATATCTCCCAAACGGATATCAACACAAGGCATCCGCGGATCTCGACGAGCGCGAGTCCCGGCGGTAGTCCACCTCGAGGGCTTCTTGGTAGTCCATTCCACGGATCCGCCGCATTCTGAACGGGAACGACCTAGAGTTTAAAAGCCGTGGGCCAAGAAAGCCCAAATTGGCTCAAGCTTCTAACTGCGGTTGAGTGTGACCCTGGCACCCAAAAATCTTGGCCAATTGCATTGCTCTCCCCAACCAACCTTCCTAAGGTTGAACCTCTTGGCCTGCGGCCAAGTCAGCACGCACCTTCCGTCGAGGCACCTTCCGCCGAAGGAGTTATTTGGGAGGAGAATAAGGCGACTCCTAGTCTTGAAAGTACTTCTGATGGTCTGAACGCCACGCGTCGAGAGGCCATTGGCAAGGAGGCCCAAAAGGATGAGCAGCAGGGCGGCTGCATGAGAAATACGGTACAGCCGTTTCATCGCATCGGCTTGAATGAACCCGAAGCTGCCGTTGCTGCTGCTGCCCCTGATACGTTAGCCAAGAGCGACTACCAAGTCAGCCAATGATACCAGCTGATTCTGGTAGGCAAGTTATGGTTGGGTTTGGTTGAAAACGAAGAGCTGAGGGGAGAAGTGAAGTCGATTGAGATACGAGAGAGCGCCAACTATGGTGTGGTGTCTGAAAATGTGGGGCTGGAGTGAAGCAAGCGAATCAGTCAAGTGATCGCGGTAGCGGGGCGCTTATGCTAGGGAAAGGGGTTTCCCCTGTCGGGTAGCTTGAAAAGCACGGACTCCTTCAAAAGGCTGGCGGTGTCAACAACCTCGTAGCAAAAGCTCCCACCTCCATTGGAGTAACTCAATCGGCCAAACTGTTGGCCGTTCTTCTGGTTCGTGGGATTTTTTTATGTGATTTTTGTAGCCTTGGTTACCTGCGGAAAAGGTCGAAGAAGAGAGTGACCACCCTGTATCTTCACATGAGAGCGGTTCGGGGGCAGAGAATCTGCCTCGAACCATCAAGGCCCCCAAACCTCGTGTGGCGGTGCCGCGAGACCCATCTTGCCTGCACTGCAGCAAATCAACAGCGAGGATATGCGAAGAACACAAGCGTAGAAAGCTTGGTACAGTGTTCGGAATATATGCTTATGATTGAGCACCACAAATAACCAATGCTAAAAACACGGAGGTTCTATACTGATAGTAACATTTTATTCGATGTGTTATGAGTTGTAAAAGAGAGTGCACATAATAACGAATAACGAAGCTGTGACTCAATGATCTGACAATACAGTCGCTAATATACCGTAGTGACACACGCTAGTGACTACCCTAGCTTGTTAAACATTAGGGCATGAATGAGTTGACTATCGAGAGATTGGTACAAGGAGAAAACCCTAAGGGGTTATACCCCACACAATCTACCCCACTACAGCCTACCCACAAATACAATATATATACATACATGTATATATATACATATATATGTTTGAGACACCCCCATTGGCAAAATGGGGGAGAGCAAGAGGTCTCAAGACCAATCAAGGAAAGCAAAGCAAGCTCAGGGTGGATCACAACGTCACCACTCACACTGAGCACAAACAAACGGCCACAATGCCAGTTCACATGCAGAGGTATATATGCAACAAGAACAGTACAGTGATCTCTACCTAACAACAGCAAGCATGCAGGTATATATATAGATCACAGTACAGGCAAAGTCTACAGCAAGTGAGAAAACGTGGGCACAAGGCCTGGTAACAAAGTAAAAAAACGCTGATGATCACCAGACGGAAGTGCCTGTCAGATATATATAACTTAACCTTTGTAGGCTATAGTGGGGTAGACACTAAGGGGTATAGGTTTCTAGTGTTTACCTTTTGTACCCAACTGTTTCTAATCCAATTCTTTCGTGTTTCGTCACATGGTATAGAGCGGGTTCCCTAGTGGGACCGTTTCTTCCTAAGGGCCTACCATAAAATTTTTTTTCCTCACCTGCCCGAAGCGCGCTTCGCGCTCTGCCCTGCCTTAACCTTTCGCGGCCCCTTAGTGGCCTGCCCTGCTCCTAAGGCCCGTCGCCCCCCCCCCCCCTTTGTGGCCCCTTAGCGGCCCCTACGCGGCCCCTTAGAGGCCCCTTCGCGGCCCCTTAGCGCCCCCCCTTCGTGGCCCCTTAGCGGCCCCTTCGCCCCCCCCCCCCTCCTTCGCGGCTCCTTAACGGCCCCGTTGTGACCCTGCGCGGCCCCTTCGTGGCCCCGCCGCGGCCCCGTTCGCAGCCCCGCCTCGGCCCCTTCGCAGCCTCGCACCGGCCCCGCCCTGTCGCCTGTCAAGGCCCCGCCCCCCGTCGCGGCCCGCCCTACCTTCGGCGCGGCCCTCCTCGGCCGCGGGCGCCGGCTCCGCGTCGCGGCCCTGCGCGGCCTGCTCACCCGCTGGTGCGGGTCTCCGCGGCTGTGCCGCCCCTTCGTTGCGGCCCCGCCCTGCCCCTCCTTCCGTCGCGGCCTCCACCTGCAGCAGCCGCCGAGGCGAGCCCTGCAGCAGCTGCTGCCGCCGCCGAACCTGTTGATTGCAGTGTAGTATTGAAGCGGAAGTCTTGAATCTCAGGTTAGAGTTGTCAGAATCAACAAGTGAGTGAACTATGAACATTGGGTGATACAAGTAGCAAACCCTAGAATGATGTACCACGTAAAGGCTAACCCTGTTGAAATGAATGAACACAAATGATTGAACTAACAGTGAAATCAGTACAAGTACCTAACCCTAGAATTGTGTACCCCCTATAGGCTAACCCACTGTAGCCTAAACAAGCACAACATATATAATGTTTGACAAACCCGCTATAGCCTACACAACAATAACATATATAATGTTTGACACACCCCCATAGGCTAAGTGGGGTAGAGCAAGGGGTCACAAGACCAGTCAAGAAAGAGAATGCAAGCTCAGGGTGGATCACAAAGTCACCGTACACAATGAGCACAAGCAAAGAGCCACAAGGCCAGTTCATATGCAGAGGCAAATATGCATCACAAACATCATAGTGATCTCTACCTAGCAGTACAAGCATGCAGGTATAAGTATATAGATCACAGTACAGGCAAGGTCTACAGCAAGTGAGGCAAAGTGGGCACAAGCCCTAACAAAGTACAGAAGCGCTGATGATCACCAGGCTGAAGTGCCTTGGTGAATATATCAGCAGTGTTGGCCTCAGTGGCCATGTAACGCAGACAAAGCTGACCGCGCTGCTGCAGCTCTCGAGCCAGAAAGTAACGTAGAGCGATGTGCTTCATTCTGTGCTCCAGTCTGTGCTCCTCACACAAGGCAATGGCAGCCTTGTTGTCGACGTACAGCACTGGAGGAGAACGAGGCCGCTCTCCCAGGTCGGTCAGCAGGTAGGTGAGCCAGCGTAACTCCTGTGCAGCCATGGCTGTGGCGTAGATCTTAGCCTCACAACTGGAGCTGAGAACTGAAGACGGACGCGTAGAACGCCACGAAACTGAGCCAGAGCCAAGGCTGAAGGTGTAACACTGTGACGACCGCTGAGTAGCCTGGTCGTCAACCCAAGAAGCGTCTGAGTGCCCAGCGAGAACAACTGAGCTCCCTCCTCCAAGCACGAGCCCCATGCCCGATGTACTGCACAATTAGCACAATACCCTCTTTGCAGCATCCCAGTGCACCTTTCGGTGCTTGCCAGGAGCCGCGTAGCGGGCCAGAATGCCAAGAGGCTCCACTGGGTACCAGAAGGAAACGACCTAGTGAAGCCAGGAGGGCGGCGCAGCCAGATCTCCTCGTGCAGGCGGCCCTGCAAGAAAGCTGTGCTGAAGTCAAGAGAGTGAAGCTCGTAGTCACGCTGAGCGGCAACGTGCAGTAGCACCCAAAGAGTGGTCATCTTTGGGGTGGGGCAGAAGGTCTGAAACAAGTCTACTCCCTCTCGCTGACTGAAGCCTCGAGCGACGTAACGAGCCTTCAAGACAGGCGGAGAACCCGGCGGCCGCTTCACCCTGAAAATCCACATGCCACTGACGATGTTCGCCCCAGGAGGGGGAACCTCATCGACGTAAGTGCCAGTGGACTTCCAGGATGCCATCTCTGCGCCCATAGCTTTCTGCCACTGAGAGGAGTACTCACCCGCGATCGCCTCAGCGTAAGAGCGCGGGGTCGGGATGTCTGGAGCATTCGGATCTCCCTCAGGGGCAATCAGCATGGACACGAGATGAGGCGCAGCGGCTGCAAGACACTCAAGGTCCTCTTGTCTGTCCTCAAGGACGTCCGTGCTAAGAGCACACTCACACCCGACGGACGGAGGACAGATAGACTGAGACTCAGCAACAAGACTGGCAGCGTAGTCTAGACGACAGTGAGCAGCAAAGTCGACAAGCTCAGCAACTAGGGCAGACGCAGCAGCAGACTTAAAGGAAGGGTCAGTGACAGCAGTGGCAAGGAGACGCGTAACAGTAGGATTGGCAGCACGTAGAGAGTCAGACTCCGGGTCAGCAAGGACAGGAAGAGAGGGCTCAGGAGGAGACGGCAGAGGAACACGCTGTGGAGCAGTGGAAGGACGCAGAGTCATAAAGTGTGTGCCAGGCACAGGTGGAGGACGCTCACGCTGACTACGGCGACCTGTGCAAGCAGCACAAACAGGTGATACAGGACAAGACACAGGCGACACAGGACGAGACTCAGGCTCACGACGCTCTGTAAGGAGCGGGAAGGACCAGGAAGTGGCGAGGCAGGCGGGAGCTGGGACTGCGACTAGACAGGGGGAGGACACTCTAAGGAGGGAGGAGGACTAGAAGGAGGAGGCTGACCAAGAACCTGCTGAAGGAGCAGAACGAAATACGGCCGCGGACGTGAAGTGCCCCCAGAAGCAGCAGAGACAGCACCAGGACCACCAGCTGGACCAGCACTAGCAGCACCTCCAGCAGCTCCAGAACCGCCAGCAGCACCAGAAGAACCTCCAGCCACTCCAGGACCTCCAGGAGCACCAGCAGCACCTCCAGCAGGTCCAGGACCTCCAAGAGCACTAGCAACACCTCCAGCAACACCAGAACCACCAGCTGAACCAGCACCAGCAGCACCTCCAGCAGCTCTAGGGCCTCCAGCTGGCGGTACCTCAACACCAGGAGCTCCACTCGTGAGGCTGCAGCGCCGAGCGTACCACTTACGTAGGCGCTGAGAAGAGGGAGTGCCACCAGGCTCAGCACCCCCAGTCTCAGCACCTCCAGTCTCAGCACCCCCAGGCTCAGCACCCAAAGTCTCCGCACCTCCAGACTCTGCACCCCAAGTCTCCGCACCCCCAGGCTCAGCACCCCCAGTCTCCGTGGCCCCAGACCCTGCACCACCAGGCTCAGCACGCTCAGTACCAGAGTCAACAGCTACCTTGACAGCCTCGACCGGGTCTACCTGGGAAACACCTGAGGGAGCAGCACCCTGTGGAGGGAGGGGGTCTAACGATGGGACACCTGCGGTGAGGAAGAGTGGCGGGGGGGGGG